GCCGCGGTCGGTCACGCGTCCCCGCTGCCAGCCCCAGGCTCCCGCTGGGGCCGTGGGTCGGAGCTCTCCTGTGCGCAGTGGTGCCGGACCTGACGCGGGCAGTGGGAATCGGCAGCTGGGAGGGGAGGAGGGAGAAGGGAACTGCCCCTTCTGGCAGCCGCCAGCACTTAGGGTGGATTAAGCATATCATGAAACCCCACCCTATGTTGTTAAGACTTGAGAGACTGTTAGCCTGCTTTTTCATCATGGTCCTGGCTCTGGTAGCAAGATTTTGACGCAGAGAGGCAGACCCTGTGCTGCTTGTGCTCTGTTAGCTGCTCACTGTCTGCTGGAACCAGGACAGCCTGAAATGGAAACTGCAGATGTGCAACAGTGCTTACGTTGCAGTAGAATCCGAGAGGTTTCTCTTTGCAAAATCCTTAGATGGATTAATTGTGAAGGTATTAGGTTACCCTGTTTCCCAGAAGGTGGTTGCTATCTTGCAGAGGTGAGTGGGAGGAACCTTTTAAATATTCCTCGCCTTTGAGCAGAAAGCAGCTGCACGATCGTCCTCCTGGAGAGGGCCGTTCCCCTCCTCCGCTGGCACTTGCTGGCCACTTCGGCATAGGTGTGGAAGGGAAGGCACTGGAGGTGGCACTCGTTTTCCTTGGCCCGGGAGGGAGCAGTTCTGACTCCCCGTTCCTGCTTCTGCACGGTAGCCCATCGGTGTGCAGACTCATGGGTGTTTGGAACGGTGCCTCTCGCTCTGCACAGACACCCTTCAGGCCGCCTTCTCCAGCTGTGGTTGCGGCTGCCTCTTGGTGAGCCGCAGCCAAAGAGATGGGTCACCTTACACAGCCTTCAAAAGGATGAAATGTGGCTTTCAGCTCAGTACGGTTTTAACCTCGACCATTGGAAGATGTGTCCAAACTGGTGAAGAAAAGCTGTGCTTTAATGCTTGTTGAAGCTCATGTTCTCAGCAGACACTGCACTCGCCGGTGTTGCTCCGTACGTCGTTCCCCGTCTCAGAGCCGTTCTTCAGCCCAGAGCTGCAGACTTCACTTGGCTGCAGGTGACTTTTAGTCTGTTGCTGTGTGGGATTGTGTGATCTACGTAAAAGCACATGTTGTGAAATATCACAGAAAGATGTGTTGTATTTTTATTAAATCTCTAAAAGGGTAAGTAGGGCCCTTTGCCCAAACCTGAAGCATTTGCAAAAGCTGATCTATGTGAAAAGATGATTTTTCTATGTTAAAACATGTAAGGAAGAATGAAGAACCTACTTTTTAAACCCCTTACTATCCAAAATCTCTAGATTTGGATGCTTTTATTTCTTCTTCCTGCCAGTGAAATTCCTAATCTGTTTTTGGGGTTTGTCAGTCAAACAGCAGATAAGAGATGGAGAGCTTAGCTGGGTCTCCAGAGGAACACACACAAAGGAATACGCAGACTGTGCCCGCAGAGCTCCGGACGAGCCTGTCCAGAGCTGTTGCAAGGCTGAAGAGAAGAGCCTCAGCGAGGTGTACGCACGTGCTGTTGTTGAATCCAGGTCCTGCTTTCAAACGTGAGGACATTACCCCTGAACTTTAAAGCAAAAAAAATCGTTATCCACTGTTTATGTGCAGCGGCCACACGAAGCGGGTACCACACCTCGGTCGTGTTTCTGCTTTCGAGCTCCCTTGAGGAACGTGACTATCTTGCCATGTCCTGCCGGACCTCAGATGTGGAAGGCAATGGAAACCAGGTCAGGTGATTCAGGACAACCACAGAGGAGCAGCGTCCGCGTGTGCAGGAATATCAAAACGCCATGGTACAAACCGAGAGGGGACCAGGGAGGGGAACGGGCGGCACGAAGGAGGCACGCGCTGCCGGAGGAGATGGCGAGCAGAGCGCTGGTCTGCCGCTCGGCGGAGCGGGGTGGCTGTCAGCCACGGTGCCAAGAGAGCTGAAGAGCATAAAGCCGCCTTTGCCTTCACTAAATGGGCCGACTGCGTGAGGGACCGGGGCAGCTCGTGCCGGCGGCGCCGCGGGGGGAGCTCGTCCTGCGGCTGGGAGGGGACGGGCTGCAAAGGGCTCAGCTGAGCTGAACGCTGTCGCGTCGGTGACCTGCTGCGTCGTACCGGGTGTCTTGGGAAAGTGACTGAGGCATCTGCAGACCTGTCAGCTGCTCTCCTGGTGCCTTCGCAGAACGGGGGGTACCGCGAGGGGACGGACATGGTGCTTGTCTTTCACCGAAGGAGTAGCTGGGGAACTGCACACCTGCCAGCTCCGTTTGCCCCAGATTTTCCTGGGAATTGACCAAACAACTGTTTGTAAGTACTGACGGGAAGATAATGAGATGAGTAACAGTCAACAAGGATTTGTCAAGAGCAAATCACGTCAACACGACCCAATTTCCTTCTGTGTGAAGAAGACCTTGTTTGCAGTCAGTATCCCGTGTCTTCTCCTCGGGAAGACTTTTGACCCTGCTTCTTGGGACAGTCTCAAAGCTCAAGCATTGTGGCGTAGGTGAAAATATTATGGAATGGGTGTGTTTCTTCAGCGCTGGAAAGCTTCCTCTGGAAGATTGTGTCCATTTCTGAGCTTGGGGTGTCTAGCAAGTTGAGGAGCAATTTCAGAAAGACCAAACAGCATAAATGACCCAGAAGTGTGCGTGATCTGCATGGCATCAGCCGTGAGTAGAAAACGGAATTAACAGACTCATTTGACCCAAAAAGAGAAGTCCAAAGAGGTGGACAACATAAGTCTTCTTGTGCATAAAATGGTTCTGGAAAAAAGGAAATAATTTGTTCTCCATGGTCAGGATATAGACAACAAGAAGTACTGGGCTTAAATTGAAGGGAGGAAAATAGAGGTTAGATACTAAATTAAAAAAAAATTCTCATGGTACTGCTTGTGAAGCACTGGAGTAGATTTTCTGGGAAGGTTCCTTCAGAGGTCTTTCAAGAAGATTAGACGAGCTGCTGTCGGGAATGAAGTAGGCACAGTATATCCTGCTTTGGATGGACTGGCTGACCTTCGGAGGTGCCTCCGAGCCCTGCAATTCTGTGAAAGTGGGGATGGGTGAGAGAGAAGTGCAGGCTCAAAGCCAATAAATAGTGTGCTGGAGTGGAGGTTGACAGACCTGTTCTCTGTTCATCTTGCTGCAATCTGATCATTAGCAATTTACTCACCTCTTGCGCCTCAGTTTCTTCACTGCGCACTGGGTGATTATTTCTTCCACGTTCTTAAAGATTTGTGAGTTCTCTAACAAAATGTTGAGTGCGTCTTCCAGGCTGCCTCTGCACGGACACGCGAGCGATGAGCCAGGGTTGTTTGTGCCACGGCACATGCGTCCGCGTGTGGCAGGCTGCGCCGGTGTCGGTGTTAGCACCGAAAGGAAAAACCTCTCTGCAAATTTGTAAAAATGTCTCAGCTGCAAAATAAATTTATTGATTCAGTTTTTTATTTCCTTTAAAATGGAATAATCTTGAGCAGAAACGGTTTTTAGGTCATACTTTCCATTGAAATATACATGTGGAAAACTCCATCCCAAATAAGGATTCGTTTTGCTTTGATTTTCACGTACCACTTTGTGGCTCCTACAAGATTTCTGGAGAGCGGCGGTGCCGGGTGCTTTCCGCAGCGCTGGCGCTGCCTCGGCTGCCCTCGGCTCCCGTCGGGCAGCGATCGGTGCCCACGGGCACCAGCACCGCTGCGTGGCTCCTGGAACGCTGCCTGGAGAGAGGGGGCTGACGCTCCCTGTTTCTAGACGGGACCTGGGGTTTCCCTTCTCCCTCTCTCCGGCGGTGCAGCCCCTGGCACCGGCGCTGCCTCCACCTGCCGCCTTCCCTCTCTGCTCCAGAGCCGTCCACCTCCGCGCTGGAGAAGGGAGATGCTCCAGCTGGTGGCTGAGCTTCAGAGATTGTCTCGTCGTGACTGCCGTGAGATTTATCACAAGCCAACCAGCAAGGAGGAGAGAAATGGTGGCTATTCCCGACTCCGTTCCGAAGGCAGGATGTAAATGATTAATATTCAACACATGGGTTTCCAGCTAAAGCCTGCATCAGACCAGGGCAGATCGGTACGAGACTTTCGAGATTTGAGGTGGGGCTTATCTGTATTTTCTGGCTGGAGAGAAGCGCTTCGTCTGCAGTGACCCGGCGCTGAAAGAGACCTCCTTAATGCACCGTCAGTTGTATAGATGTAGAATATCAGATTTTTTTGCACAAAAACAAGAAACAAACTCTACTTAAAATATAGATTGAAATGAAATATTTCTAGAGGACTAGCCTGAAGGGCTTTTATTTTTTTTAATGATTTTTTTTTTTTTTTTAATCCATGATGCTCACCTAACACAGAGCAATTAGTGCAATGGAGCGTCCCTGATTCGAATCCGTGGTAGATTGCTATTAAAGGAGGTATTAATGGGCTGCCGAGAGCTGGGAAATTGTTGCAGAAAAGTGTGTTTATGGAGTATGGTGCTGGCAGGCATGATTTCAATCGGATTTGACATGTTTAACATAAATGTATACTGCACAGCTCCTGCAGTTTATGAATAATTCCTACAGGCCCACTGCCTTTCTAATTACTGAAATTGAAAAAAACAGGTCAGGCACATCCTGACGGAAATCTATTACTGCCCCTCCCCCCACTGCCGCTTTTTTCTGGTTTTTTAATATATGGCGTTTGTTGAGCAGTTAATGGCTGCGATATGCTGTGGACCAGAGCAGAGACGAGGGACGAGCAGGCTGGCAGGAAGGGGACGAGGGGCACGGTGAAGCGGCTCTCGACCCCGGCTTCGGCGAGAAGGAAACCTGGGAGAGGGGATGGGAAAGCACACTGTGGTGGTGCTTTTTTCCTGAGCATCTGCAAAG